AAAACTGGAAAACAGCAGTTCATAATTATTGGTCTCTTCTTTCTCCGTTGATATCTCAGATCATCCTAAGAGACCTGGTGATGAGGATCCTTCACCACCTTATAATATGCTTAGAAATGTTCTAGACATGAATTCTCGCTTCGGTGGTCTTAATTCTGCATTGTTTGAACAAGGGAAATCTGTTTGGGTCATGAATGTAGTCCCAACAAGTGGACCCAACTACCTACCTTTGATCCTTGATAGGGGCTTTGTTGGTGTACTGCATGATTGGTAATTCCACGTACCTAGCCTCTTTTGTAACTTGTCCTCAAGCTTTTTCCATGTTAGAACCTCATCTTTTTTCGTCATATACTTTGTTGTTATTCCCCTTTGAATATAGACATGTCTGACTTGTATAAACTGAAACAATCTGCCTTATTCATTTCCTTACCTGCATGAGAGATATAAAATTCATCTGATCAGAAAAGAGTTCATGTAATTTTGAAAATGCCATATGGACATTCTTCACTGTAAAAAATTAGGAACCAACTTCAGCATAGAATGAAATCAAAATATGCTGCATGCTGTTCATTACCCTGTTCTTCCGTAAATTTAAATCTTAATTATTTAAAGAATAAAATTATATGGAATAAAACTTTTATGCTACTGGTTTGTGAATAAGTGGGATTTTGTCTTTCACTTGATTGTATGCACAAAGTAATACTTTTGGTCACTAGTGGTTGATTTGAAAATTTTATAACTTTACTCTTGACTTAATATGCTAATCTCTAGATATCTTATGATCTTTGATTACCTATTATTATTTTTTTTTTTGAGGTGTCTTTGACTACTTACTGATTGTATCATCTTTATCCTTTTTAGGTGTGAAGCATTTCCAACATATCCTAGAAGTTATGATATGGTACATGCTGAAGGACTTCTATCCCTCGAGACAGGACAGCATCGCAGGTGCACCATGCTGGATATGTTCACTGAGATTGATCGCTTACTTCGGCCCGAGGTATGTGATAGTGAAATGTTCAGATATCCCGTAATCTGATCTTTTGCATGCTGCCTATTGTTCTTAAAATGAAATGCTCTCCCCAGCTTCTGCTGTCTAATTCAGGCGGAGATGGTCTGTGCTGATAAACTTGAATAATTATGAGCAACTATACTTATGTTTGTAAAGTAGTGACTAGCACAGAAATATTAAGGCTTGGTATTTGGCAACCATCACTATGAATTTAGCTTCTGTTTAGGCTTGACTGGATTTATTGTTTGCTTTTGTCCTCATCCATCTTTTTGGATTTCTTTTCGGGTGAGGGTGTTAATTCTATGAATGCTTTGATGCAACAACCCTTTATCTGATATTAAGCTTTTTCCCCTCTGAACAGTTATAAGTTAATCCCAAGCACCAGTTTGGTAGAATTCATTTTCCAAACAAAAAAATCAGAATAGCTTGATCTTCTACTTGTTCCCAGCATATTATGGAGTTTTTGTATCCGCAATTTGTCGTAAGAAGAGGATAGGGTCTCATGTTATATTCACATGATAGGCTTAGATAATTGATTAATGATCCAATACTGCAATCTCGTTCCTGCTAAGGATGTGCTTTGTGACTGTACATTGGTAGTGGATCCTGGGTTGGATTTTTTTTTTTTGAGGCTAGGTGATTGAATGTTATCCAAAACTTGTCTGTAGTTCTTATAGTCCCCCAGAATGGTCATGCTTTACTACTGATGTTCAGATATTTTAGGCATTGTCAACTGAGTGATGCCCTAAATCTTTCTTGAACCAGTAGGAATGTGCTGTGTTAGGTGGTGCTTTGAGTTGCTTGGTTATGTATGTTGTTCTGATGTCAATGGCTTGTGCAGGGTTGGGTAATAATCCGTGACACAGCACCTCTAATTGAATCAGCAAGAGCTCTAACAGCACGGTTGAAATGGGATGCACGTGTAATGGAAATCGAAAGTAACAGTGATGAGAGACTCCTTATCTGTCAGAAACCTTTCTTAAAGAAGCAAGCAAGCTAATTATGCATTCTTCAGGGAAGATAAAAAATGTCAATCATGGTATTCAAATTCATTTTGTGGATGTTAACTTAGTCACATATCATAAAGCTCCACCCAAAAGGGGGAGAAAGATAAATTTTGAACAGAAAGAAGAAGCCAGATAAAAAAAAAAAAAAACAGAGGAAGAGGAAAGAAATGAGAGTATCGGTGGGACCAACCACAACACCTATGGAGCCGTAAGGCGTACGTAGGGCCATGTAATTACTCAGATGGAGATACCCTGCGAGCCAGAATTATAGGATCAAATTTCATTTTCCATGTTATGTCTCATTATAACCAGCATACATCACATGATTCAGATTGTGAAGATGTTTACAGAATAAGCAGTGTTATTTGCTCTAGTGTATAAAAAAATTGCTTGGTACATTCATGTTGATTTAATGCTTCATTTTTTTGGGTTTCTTTCTTCCAATGCCAGATTTGAGTCATTTATGTTTCTCAGTGATGCATATTCAGTGCCGTTTCTATCTGTGCTGTCCCGAAACGGGTTAGACACAGGAATCGATTACTCTATAAAATTTTCTATTTCATCTTTACTTTTGGAATGCCTTGGCAGAGACCCCCTGGTTTTTGAGCCAGTAATTGTAGTCTTGCATCTGTAAAGTAGAATAGTGGCATGTTTTGTTTGCCCAAGCGAAAAAGGATGGGCATGGTTAAGGGTTTGTTGTTCTTATATTATTCCTTAAATATCACAATTTTTATTTGCAATCCTGAATATTATGGATCAATTTTCTTTAACTTACTTTCTTATTTATTTTATATTGTGTAAATAATATTAAGTTTTAATAAATTTATTACTTTCTTTAATAAGTTTATTGTTATTATTTTTCTTGACATGGTAAGTGATAGGCCACAACCTACCACACAGTTGATTCGATTGTTTTTATTTTTACTATTTTTAAATGAGAAGGAAGCCATTTTATTCAGGTATAAATACGAACCCAGATTAAAGGAGAACCGCAGTTCATTCGCACTATGGCTTGGCGCCTATTTCTCTCCAAAATGTCGAAACCCAAACATCTTCTGCTCCTAACCACGCCTAATTTCCAAAACCCTAATCACGACCCTGCAAAACCAATACCATCCATTTTCTTTTTCACTTCCCAATTCTCTACCTCATTTCTTGTTACTAAGATACCCAAGAAGTTCAAGAAGAAGCGCAAGAAGCCCGACTCACCCCGGACCAAACTCGTGCAGCCTGATTCTTCCAGGATCCTCCACCTGGAGTCCATCGTGGAACGCGATTCCCACTTTCGCTTCCTCACCCGATCCAAAGAATTTCTCTCCAAGCAGCCCCAACACGTCCTCCGCCTCGATGACGCCGGAAAGCTTTATCGGGAGCTGGGATTTCCTCGCGGCCGTAAGGTATCGCGCTTTATCCAACGCCACCCGCTCATATTCCAAATTTACCGCCATACTGACGGGAAGATGTGGCTCGGCTTCACTGATTTCATGGAGGAATTGCTGGACGAAGAGAACTCTATCATGGACTCCATGGAGCGAGATAGGGTCACCAAGGTCCGCAAATTGCTGATGATGTCCAAGGATAAACGGATTCCTTTGAGCAAGATATACCATACCAGGTTGTTGTTCGGAATTCCCGAGGATTTCAGGGACCGAATCGCGAAATACCCCGATTATTTCCGGGTCACCGTTAGGGATGACGGAAAGAGGATGCTTGAGTTAGTGAATTGGGATCAGGGTTTGGCAGTAAGTGAACTGGAGAGGCAGTTCATAGTGGATGAGGACGAGGCCAAGAAGGCTTTCAAGTTTCCAATGAAATATGGAAAGGATTTGGGATTGGAGGATGGCGATATGAGGAAGCTGAATTTGTTGAACACGCTGCCGTTGGTTTCTCCATATTCGGATGGTTGGAAGTTGGATATTTGGAGTTTGGACGCAGAGAAGTACAGAGTGGGGGTTTTGCATGAGTTCTTGAGCTTGACATTGGAGAAGAAAGCATCTATACACCATATTGTGGAGTTTAAAAAGGAATTTAGCTTGACCAAGCATACTTACCAGCTGCTTAAGAAGCAACCAAGGACGTTTTATTTGGCTGGGACGGAGATGAACTGGGTGGTTTTCTTGAAAAATGCTTACAATGAAAATGGAGTTTTGATTCATAAGGATCCGCAGGTAGTTTTCAATGAGAAGCTGTGTAATTATGCGGACATGCAGAAAATGGAGATGGCTTCTGGTTTTAGGAAAATATGATTTCAAGATTCAACATTTTTAGCAGAGGATTAAGGGGATGAAGATGAATTTCCCAATCTATATGCGTAAGCTATCTGTATTGGGGATGAGGGAGAACGTAGGGGATGAAGATCAATTCTTCCAATCTATATGTGGAAGGTATCTTGACCTGACCCATGACATAATTGAACCTTGTTTTTTCCTCTGAAAGATTTTTGTATTATGTGTATGATTGAAGTTGCTAATAGTTAATTTATCAGAGAGAAAGAAGTGGATTATTGTTACCTGAAGCGAGTTTTTCCTTTTCATGAGATAATCAATTGATTTTTCTCCTGTTGCTATTGTAGTTATACAGGCAAACGACAGTTTCATCTCCCGCAGTTCGTATTATTACAATTCAAAATGTGTTATTTATTTTCTGATAGTTCATTTCTTTGACTAAACAGAATAATTTTTCATAAAATAAGATGATAACCCAAAATCAGTTTATGGGTTTCCCCTAAACTAAGCTTGCCATTTTTCTTATTTCTTTCTTGATTTAAAACCAATGGAGTTGGGTTTTATTACTTTAGCTAATCTTACTTCTCCAATTAGAGACCTGTTTGACCATTTCTCTTGATATCCAAAGAATGATGAGATTGCGATCAAGACAATTTAACATTGAAAAAGAAATATCACTTCAAGGCTTATAGACTTCCCAAGTACCAGAAGACCCTTTTTAGACTTTCATACGATATGTTCAATTGCCAAAAGCTATCAAGTAGCCCTCGTACCAGAGCCGTCCTTAAAACGGTTTGTACAGTGACCTATATGAACTTAGGTATTGCATGCGAACCATAATAACAGAAATACACAGATAAAAAATTCAATGAAATCCGAAAAGTACTTTACAGATTTGCAGTTTCTTGCAACCATAAAACGAATTCTTTGTGAAATTCTACTGCATGATATCATAATGGAACTCTACTGCATGGCATCACACCCTAGAACGTGGAAAAGTAATGAAACCAATTCAGAAAGGAAGAGAAACCGATCAAAATAAGAACCTTGGAAATGGTCACGCGAGAACAAAAAGTTAACAGAGGAAACACACTTTCTGACAGAAACAAAATTAGGAAGAACAAAGATGGATTGCAATAGATGATGAATGGTCGACTTAATGTGATGAAGAAGCCCGTGCAGCAGATGGCACGGTCTTTTGGGTGAACTGATGGTGAGTTCGGGTCTTTGACCTGTGCCTGGTTCTCTGCCCAACACTCGGGCTTCTCCTGTGCCCGCCAGAGGAGCTTGATGCACCTTGGATCCCTCTCCGAATTGTTTTTCTTCGAGAGCTCAATGCACTGTTCCCAAGGGCAGCTTTTGCCACACTATCGGTTAGCACCTCCCTAGCTCTTTGTGGTTTAATAGGCTGCTTGTTTAAGTACACAAGTTTTGAGAGGAGACTGCAAACTGCCTTGCGGAGCTGATCGTCACTGATGTTGCTCTGAATAGGATTTCCCAAGAGATTGAGAGCTAGCAATGAATTGTAGTTGGCAACAAGCTGGCCTAGAGCTTTTGTGGTCGTTATCTTGTTGAAGCTGAGGTCAAGAACTGTTAGCTTCAAGAGTCTATGCAAACCCTCAACATCGCTGATCTTGTTCCCAGCAAGATAGAGTTCCTTGATCAGTGTACAGTTCGACAACCCTAATGTTGATTAAAGCCCAGATGGCATGTTTAGGATTATGCACAGAAGAGCTGAAGAAATAAAAAGTGTTTATCCAAGATCATAGAAACAATGTTTCTAAAGACAATTACCTTGCCCAATTCGAGAAATACGGTTGTAGCTGAGATCAAGTACTCGCAACCTGTTAAGTTCTCTGAGGCCTTCAATGGTGCTGATCTTGTTTCTTGACAAGTTGAGTACGTGAAGACCCTTTGGCAGGTACCCTGGAGTAATCCGGACTGCTAAAAAAACAAGGAGCCAACTATTTAACTCATTACTAATTTTGTCTTTGATGAACTATCACTTTCTTTTCTTGTAAAAGATCATACCTATAAAGTTGTTTGACAAGTTGACAGATCTGAGGCTGGAGAAACATGACATGATAGGCATTGCTCTTAAGCCTATGCCTGAAATATGAGCCACAGTTGAGGAAGAATTTAGTGACTGGATGATGCTATTTGCATGCACAATCTCCTCTGAAATGTTTAGATCAGGATGCTGAATGGAAGAAGAGGCTCTGTCTCTTGCCACCGATTTGCCAGCATCTGGCGATGGAGGAAAATTAAGGCCTCTGTCATTCTCATCCTCATTTTCAGCTGGAGGTGGGTTCTGCATGCTGAGATCTCTCACCCACTCATCCACTCTTGTCAAGGAGGATGATTCTGCTGAAAAAGCAACCCAATGGTTCTGGGGCCATAAACTAGAAGATGCACCATGGAAACCTCCCCAGCTCTGCTTGTCATTGTAGTGGTTATTGTAGCCCTTGTTCAAGGATTCTTCTGTAAATGATCCAGGTGATCCCGTCTTGCCCAATTTCATCTCTCGATTTGGCTCAAGTGTGTCTGAACAGTACCCACTTTGCTGGTTCAAGGCAGCTGTAGGAAGTGGTTGTGGTTTTGGAGGATGAGAATTGTGCAGGTTTCGGTGACTCCAGAGGAACAACTTCCACCAGAGTCTCCTACTCCTAGAGGGCAAAACTTGGCTTGACGAATGCTTCTTTAAAATAACTCGATCCGCACTCCAATGGGTCATCACCGACCTAGGACTGCCCAGATCAAAATTGTCCCTCATCCTCGTAGATAATTCCTGCAGTTCATCAAATGACTGTGACTTTGAAGGAGGCAAACTTCTGGCTACCTTTCTCAGGACCTCCCTTGTCTCTAGATTAGAGCATGAACGCTTAAGCTTCGGAGAAGCCCAGAACGTAGCCTTCCCGGTACCTGGGTCACTAAGATGTCCAGCTTGCGTCCTGTCAACATCCTTCTCACTGCACTCAGCTCCCTTCACATAATTTTCACTCACCTTGAATTCAAAAGAATCGGAGTTTCTAGCTTTCAAGTCAGACTCCACTTCGCCTGAATCATTAGCTATATGTGCTTGGAGATTAAAGTCAGAGAAGTCCCTCTTCATTGAGAGGTTCTCTTCATGTTCATCTTCTCCATCATATGCCCTCTCGGTTGCTTCAGGTGCGAGTGGACTCTCAAAAGGTTGCACCTGGTTTTCAAGTGTAATCTGCAGGGTTCTTCGCTCTTTTCGACCCTCGTGAACACGTTTATGGTCTCCCTGAAAGCAAAAGAATGAAAGTCAATGAAGTAAGCGAATTCATGAGGTACGAACACATTGCAAACAATGGGATTTAGCATATATTGCTTCAGTTCTACTAACTTGGAATGAGATTTCAATATTTTCATGATTGAAGCAAGTAATAAGACTAAAGATTTTCAATTTAATCATATGAAAAAAGTTCATTTGCCTCAAAGATGCCCTAAATCTGAGAATATATGCGTACCTTGACTTGCTTCTTCCCCCTTCTCACGAAGCCGCAGCAACTGAATTTTGCCATTTCAGAACAAAGCTATAATCCGAATTCCTGAAATTCAGAAACTGCTAAGCCTTATTTTGTTTTTTTTTTTCTTCTTCTTGAGCTTGTTCTGCTGCTGCTCGCATCTCGAACGACTACTAAATTGAGCTCTAGCGCCGATGGATTCTTTGAGGGGAAAAAGGTCACATCGGGTAAGATTGGATTAAAAGTTAGCCATAATCAATGGGAAGGCGCCAAACCAGTGACTGCGAGCAATATGAAGGTGAAAATAGACGGGAAAACGAGGGAACAAGGCCTGATAGGGCTTCCGGAGATTTGGCTAGAAAGTCGGCCAGAGTTGTATTCCCAGCAGCTTCTCTGTAGAAGCTTCACATCAGCTATCCCCAATTCCACTCCTGGAGACGATAACAAGAAGACGAACATCGGCACTCGTAAGAAAATTTCAAAAACCTTTCACAAAGCAAAGTTATATATTTTCCTTCCTAGTCAAATTTTCGATTATCATCTAACTTCATTGTTTTAAACGAGATTTAAACAAAGCTTTGTAGGAGAAAACAAGAGAAATCTGCATGAGGTTTCTCTGTTCCCAATCAATCCAATGCGTATCCAACTCAATAGCCGTGAGTCAACATGACCTTGCATACACAGCTCCGGCAAAACGTCGCAAGTAAAGAATTCGCCAAATATACAGGACATTAACATTACAGTGAAACCATGACAGACAAACGAGATAAATATAGACGCATACAGATTTAGATAAAAGAAAACGAAAACAAAAGAAGAAAATAATTAGAGCTAATCAGATGGAGGAGGTTCATTATTCTCTGATTCCGTGAAACGCAGGCACAAAAACATAAAACGGTTATAGGATTGGAGGCTAGATTGTAAGACGAAGCTACCTGTTGAAGACGGAGTGTCGTAGTTTGTGGAGTGGAGGGGGGTGTAGCCCAAGAATGTTTCTTTGCGGCCAGAGAGATGGAGGAGGTGATGGTTGTTGGAGTAGAAGATGGAATACATACATTTATGTAAAGAGCAAATGGGTAAAAGACATACGCGCAAGAAACACGGTGCATTCATTTTGCATTTGGTCATTTTGGTTTATTGTTGATTAAAATGGTAAATTATAATTTTAAATTTATTATTTTTATTATCTTTCTGATGTTTTATAGTTCATTATGTATTTTCATTAACGTAACAGTTTTAATTTAAAATAAATTTAATATTTTTTTTAATTAGAAGTCAAAACCTAGTGAGTTGAACCCGCCCCCTCTAAGCGGCTTGTTTGGATTTTTGTCACGTTATCACAAATATTTATTTTTTTACATGAAGATTTTATAACAATGTGGTGGGCCACACCCACATCTGTTGTGCCACATGCTGTGTTCTCGGGTGGTAGCCCACTGGGTCCTACTACAGAATCTCTTTCCTTTGCGATCCTAATTTTTTTTGGTGTTTTTCCAATCGGAAAAAATGATTATATTTTTACGACATGTATAATGTACTTGTACCAATTTAAAAGGGGTATGGGGTTGGCCGTCCAACCAATGAGTGGACGTATTTTCTAGATAAATTAAGCAAGCATAAATGCAAATTAACTCCCAACATTATTCTCCATTACGAAAATCTCTTTGAAGATTATGACAAAAATCGTATGTGGTCATGTCATGTTATCAAAATAAATTTAGATTTAATATCATGATAATTTTATTATTTGATTAGGACCTCAAAAATATTTATTAATAAAATTAAAAAAATATTATATAATACATATAAATTTATTTAAGATACTAATAAGTAATTCATTAATTTGTAAGTTAATTTTATTTTTTTAAAAAGATTGTAATAATTTTTCTGTCAAATACTCCAGTTATAATTTCAATAATTCGTATGGGTTAATTTCAAAAGATTTTCATTAATTACAAGATGTCTTGATTTATGGCCTTTTAATTTAAATATTGATTTTCTGTAAAAGAATATATGATTTTATGAAACTTTTTAACAGTAAATATTTATTTAAGTAATGGCACATGATGAATATGATATGATAATAGTATAGGGTATTGGACATGATATAACATGAGATGACTATGATGTTTGGCTAAACACGTGTCACCAGCACCGCCGTGTATCTCCGTGACGTGTTTGGCTCATCTATTAATTTATTTTTTTTCTTCTTTTTTGCTTTTTCCAAATTGGAATCTGATACATGAGATAGATAATTCGCGTCGCCTAGTTTCAGTTAAATTCATAAATGAGTACTGCTGTTTTTTAATCGGCATAATTTCTTATTAATTAATTTATGACGAAATAATTAATTGTTTTACGAAGTCTTCACTAATTAATTTCAATTTTCATTTCTTAAATTTATATGTATTTTATTTGCAAAATTTTTAGTTATTAATAAAAAAATAAAGAAATTAATGACAGAATTTTCAAATATTATTAAACTAGAACTCGTATTGGACTCAGAAAAAATAATAAACATAATTATATAGTAAATGAAAATTAATTATTATTTTTTTGAAATATTGTTTTTTCATTTGATACTACATTTTAATTTTGATCTACTTTGCATTTTATTTAAGAAAGTGATTATCTTAATAATTGAAAGTGGAAGATTTAGGTGGTCTCAATTATTGAAATTCTTCATTTATTTGTCTTCCCGGTGCAACAACTGCTGATAACTTTTGAGAGAGATGATAAAAAAAAAAAAAAAAAAAAATTATTATTGAAATTGAAAAGATTCCAATTTCCGCATATATATATATATATATACGAAATTTTTGTAAGATATCAGAAATTAATTTATTTTAAAATAATTTTTGTTTAATTTTATATTAAAAAGTTTAAGGCAAAAGAAGAAAACAATATATATATATATATGTACGCCTCTTGGGGTGACTGAGGAGCTGTTAGGGAGAAAAGGCCAAGGCTAAGTGGCCAACGGAGCTCCGTCGTCGTGCAATTTACGCCCGTAGGTACCCCTCAAGTACACAACTAGTACAGATCTCTCTTTTTTTTTTTTTCAGGTAGTTTCTGTCTGTACTGTATTTAAACCGACAAAATTGAATATATTTTTTGAAATAAATAACAGTAATAAAAATAATTCACAAGAAAACCTACTTATCAGAATAAATTTGAACTTTTAATTTAAATTACTTGTATAAATTTGAATATAAAGTTTAGATAGGAGACGGATACAAATTTTGAGCCATTAATAGTTTCAGATTTGAATAGTTGTGTGACCGATTGATAATTTCAGGTTATTCAAAGCCCAATTTCGGATCCAAGTAGTTGGCTAATTTCAGATTCTGAAAAGCCCACATGGTAAGCGTCAAATGTCAGCTAACAGCCTCCTCGGCTCCAATTATAAATAATATTATATATTTTCTGCAAATTTTATATTTTTTAATTGACTAATTATGATAAGCGTGATATATAAGAGAAATTAAATTAAAAAACGAAACAATTTATAGTAGATTATTATAGTTAAATGATAGATCTAATGAAATTATCTTTGTTATTTTTTTTAATTAATTAAAAAAATATAATTAACATTTATTTTATTTTTCAAAAAAATTTCAATGGTCAATCCCTTAATTATTATATTTTATATTCGTTATTGTACGACTTTACGACGATCCATCGTTTGTCTCCCCCTTCATTCATTGCTATCCTTCTCTTCCCCGCCCTCTCCTAAAACCAGAAAATAAATAAATACACACACACACACACATATATATATATTATATTATATTCAATAATTTTACTATAATCAACAAAAACCTATATATTATGTACATGTAAATATCGTCTTCCTCTATCCCAAAAACCCTCATTTGCTTCTTCGCTTGTTTTTAGTTCCTGTCTGACATAAATCCCCAAACAATCAAAAACCCATAGACGGCCATAAAGGATAACATTTTTGCACCTCCTAAAAATGTTCTGTTTATTCTTATCTTCAAATATTTGATTTTTTCTTCTCACTTTTTTGCTCGAGTGTCGATTTTCCGTGATTGGCTTGGGTGGTTTTGTTGATGGGGACGAGGGCATGGGAAACGGGGGTGGTGATGCTGGCGTTATTGTGGGCGAGGCTAACGTGCGCCGCCTTAGTATACTCCGCTAGGGTTCCGTTTTGTTCCGTTGAGCCTGCTGTGGAATCGATCTTAGGGTTTCGTGATCGGTACTACTGTTTCCTACACGAGGCTGCTACTGATGGATCTCCCAATATTATTGCTGTTACCGAGGTAAGATAAAATTCATCGGATTTCCCCTTTGTTTGGAAGTTGAGATTTTTAATTGCTGTTTTGTGAGTTTTCTGGGTGATTTTAGTTTGTTTGTTGTAAATACTGTCCAAGGATCGAAAACTAGTAGCTTACGGAGTTTGTTTTAGCCAATTTGATTCTAATGTAGACTGTTTCTGAACTTAGCACTTGGAGTGGTTTGTGTTAGAAATTAGGTGAAGAACATAAGCGATTGCGCATGTTTGAACAAGCATGTTAGCGATTGCTTAGTTATGTCGTATTCAAGAAATGGAGGAATTTGCTAGCAAAAAGAACGGATAAATTCTCTTGACTAGTCAATTTATTATCATTAAGTAGAACGTAATTCCAATAGGGTTTGTCCCTGCGTTTTCCAGGTTCAGACTTGAAAACAGACATGCCCACAAGGTGGTATTGGTGGAATGCTGATTGGAACGAAATTCTTGGTTTATGGATTGTTTGTTTTGTTGTTAGTATGGCTTTGTTTGTCAGGAGACTTCATAACGATGTAATCTCCTACTTTGCTGTTAGAACACTAAAATTTTCATGTAAAAGTAAAGAAAAGTATAGTTATGGAGGAAAAAGAAAAGTACCCGCTATAGGAACTAGTGATGGTTTTGTTAAGTTTTAAAAATTATTTTACTGGCATTTTAGCTTTTCGGCAGATGCAATTTTTTTATTAGATAGAACCATCTTTCTTGTTGGATAACTGTGGAGATTTTTGTTGAATTGTGCATGGTAGAAATGGGAAGAATAGCCTCGAAGTTAAAATAACTAAACTGAAAAGTTGCTTTCATTTTATAACTAATTGAATTTTAATGAAGTGACTTTTCTACTTTGAAGGGAAATGAGGTCTCGCTACAGAAGGCACTGAATATGGTACACAAGAGCAGTCATGAATATGTGGCTGTGCTCTTCTATGCATCTTGGTGCCCTTTCTCTAGGTCTTTTAGACCATGTTTCTCTGTCATCTCTTCTTTGTATCCCTCCATCCCTCATTTTGCTATTGAAGAGTCAGCCGTAAGGCCAAGGTCTGCAAATGAATCCATCTTCTTATGTTCTTATATTTGACATATATCATTGGTTTTTGATCCTTACACCACCTGATCTTTGCAGCATACTCTCTAAGTATGGAGTTCATGGGTTTCCAACTCTATTCCTTTTGAATTCTACAATGCGTGTGCGTTATCATGGCTCTCGAACTCTTGGTTCATTAGTTGCTTTTTACAGTGATGTTACTGGTAAGAGCTTTCTTCTTTGTGCTTTCCTGCTGTGGTTTATTCTTTTGAACTCATTTTTAGCTGATTCTGATTGAGAATGAGATGAAGCTTTCAAATTTCTTGAACATCAGCATTTATCATCTTCTAGTGAGTAATTTGTTCAATGTTCCTTTACCTCGATAGTGTCTCGCTGAAAAATGACTAATTGCCACTTGTCCCTCTTTGGTTTCGTCTAGTTAGATTCAAGGTGGATTCTACATGTGGTTCCTACTGCTTCTTTTTAGTCTTAATTGAAGTTGCATCCACATCTGTGTGATATATGCATGCCAACATAAACTATATGAAAAAAGGTGCAAGTGTTTGTATTTAAATATGTAAGTAAATATATAGGTTACTAGATATTTGTGTATCTATGCATGCTAACATAAACTATATGAAAAAAGGTGCAAGTGTTTGTATTTAAATATGTAAGTAAATATATAGGTTACTAGATATTTGTGTATCTATGCATGCGATTATACCTGAATGGTGCACCATATTTGCTCTCACATTCAGAAATGCATCTACTTGAGCTCTCTCTTTTGTTATACTGTAAACACTGAAAGAGCTGCTTAGTCAAGCTCTCCGTTCTTGTTGGTGCACATAAACCCCTATGTTAATTAGGGACCTGAACCTGCAAGAGAGGCCTCCCGAATGTCAATGTTGGGAAACAGGTGAGTGACCAGTGAGCCAGGGCTCTGGGTCTAATCAAACCCTTGGTCAGGCGAAGTGATAGTAATTGTTTTATCTACAGTATGTTACTACTATTATCTTATTGAAGAAAATTCTCTCATTAGGATAAAAAAAAGGATATAATGAATTCGGTGCTTGGCTCTAGGTATTAAGACTCCATCACTGGACAAAACATCCTTGGAGAAAATTGGACACTCATCGAATATAGAGAAGCACGATAACATTGACCTGGAAAGCTGCCCGTTCTCGTGGGCAAGATCCCCAGAGAATTTGTTTTGCCAAGAGACATACTTGGCTCTGGCTACAATGTTTGTGCTGTTGAGACTACTATACCTATTATGTCCTACTCTGCTAGCCCTTGCTCAGTTCACTTGGAGGTGGATCGTCCAAAATGTTAGACTGGATAGTTTGTTGGAGCATCCCGTGGCTTTTCTGAATAGAGCAATACAGTTGCTCAACTCTCTGAAGGAACCTTGTAAGAGAAGCAATCTGCAGGAAGGAGCAATGAATGCCAAAGCGTGGGCTTCTAAATCTCTTGCTACCGTTTCAATTGGGGATGCAAGCACAAGCAGGGTTGCATCTGGTGAATGCCGGTGACCAACTATCTCCCCAAAATGGGAAGGGAGATGATATTCCTTTGAGAGGTCTGGCCGCACAGGCCACTAATCACAAAGTTCTTTTTCGGCAAGAATTTCCTTGGTAAGGAGTTTGGGATACAATGATGGCAATGAAAGCAAAATAACATTGTATCCTGAGGTTGTAGTAATTGATTTTTCTATGTCTATATGGTTTAGAGAACAATTAGTTTTATTTTTCAAACTCCAGGTGGATCCAAATATACGGTTGTCATTTTGCTCGACTGTGCCCCTTTTTCCTGTCCTTTGGTTTGGTTCAGTAGCTTCTTAATTATGTATCTCTCGGAATTACTTGTTATATTTCTGCAGGCCCAGATGGGGGTGTGTCATAAATTCAGACAGAGCGGGGAAATTCCAGTGAAATTTTTAAGAGAAATGTCAAATGTATAAAAATTTGTGAAAAGAATTATACAATCACATTTGTCTGATATACGGTGTCTAGTTTTCCTGTTATATCAGCTTGTAAGTAGTTTTTCTTTTTGCATAAAAGCTGTACAGTTTATACGTGTAACCTTATGTAGGAGAGTGTGTTTGGTTTGACCTTGGTATACAATTATATTAAAATATATTCGGTCTAATAATTAAAGTTTATAATTAAATACTATCATACACAAAGAAATAGGTATAATTTTGAATATATGTTTTTGTATAAAAATAAATTTATTTAAAATCATTAATTATAAGAATTTAGTTTAATTATCATTTACATATCTTATTATTAAATATTATTACATACGATGCATATGTTACTCACTAAACAACGATCATAGTAACAACGTAAATTTCAATGCACGTTTTTCATATAAATAAATTAAAGCATCATGTAAATTAAGAAAATACGAATTATCATGTGCTGACATGACTAGACATGTAACACTAATATGATACTAAAACATCAAAGCGGCAAAGATTAACGAATTAATTATACAATATGAAATTTCGAAATATATAGTTTAGTTTTTATACAAAAAATATTTATAACAATTCAAATGACACAGTATGCATGTAAATCAAATTAGATAATTTATAAAACAGATGTAACTATTTTAACAAAAGCTAAGTCGGGAATTTTGCTTATAACTTCATGAACTGATTATAGTTCTTTGTTCTGAATGCGAAAACACCTCCCGTTGCTCTCTGAAGCTAAAAAATTCATGGCATATAGCAGTTCCATTTTGTTCTAAATCCTACAATAATACAAGTTAAAGATATGTAGCACTATATGGCATAGAGCTGCTTTTAGCAAATATCACTTGTTCACAATAATGCAATTGCTCAAAATCTCATCAAGTGAATTTCGTGTCAGCACCTCTTACCAGAAGAAAAACTAAGCATCCGATATGAGCTACTAAGCTTTCCTTCTTGTCATCAGGCTATACCTCCACTGAAGTTTGATCTTTCTTCACGATCTGACAAGAAAAATTTCTTTACATGATACCTCTCACCTCATAATTTCACTGGCAAGACGATAATATAATGTCTAACGTATCTTAGCATTGGAAATGTCAAATAACTTTTCAAATTTCCCAAAAAATGCTATTTCTAACATTGAGATTGATAAGAGGGATTAGAAATCAAGCAAGTATCCAGCAAACATGCAGGGGCCCCTTTCATGCTAATAGTTTCAAACATTCAGTAAGTTAAAATAATGCCCAATATCCTTCTCTATTTCGGTAAGTGATAAAAGATGAACAACAATATAGAAAATGCATGACAATCATTTCAAACACATTTCCTTGTCAAAGAGTAGTAACATCTTCCATATTTCCATTTCACGATGATTCAAAGAACATAATTAGATGTAATCAGTAACGGGACAGAAGCACGGTAGATACTTGTGAATCTACTCGATATTTAGTACCTGTGATATGTATTCTTTAATCGTCTCCCGAACTTGTCCATCTAGAGCTCTCTCAGCTAACTCATAAAACAATGTATTACCTTCAGGGCCATTGACCTTTTCCTTCTGCAAATACCTATCAGATAAAGAGGTATATGAGGGCTTATACATAAGTTGAGTCCTCATTGATTAGGCACGATGAGGGATTAGATATGACGAGATATATTTATCCCTTCTAGATAGATAGTCCTAACCTTTGCTGTACTAGTGTCTCCAATGCCTGCTTGCAGCTCCCAAAGACCAAATGGTTTTCATCATTTTCATGGAGTCCCAAACGTCTCAAGTGATGCCAAAGGTTTTCTATGGGAAAAGGCAGGTTTTTGTCATCTTAGAACTTGGGAAAAGGCAGGTTTTCCCCCCCTCTCTCATTTTTTCTCTTTTGGTGGTGAAATCCAACTTAAAAATAACCTCCTAAAAGAGGAAGGACACTATTCTGTATTTTGAGGGATAAATTTAAAAATTAGTGTAAAAGCATAAGGCTTTACTGCAAACGTGGTGGAGCTATATAAAACCAATGTCAGATTTGACAAAGAGATTATATCAACAGAAAACCAGTTTAGATCGAGAACTCATGGGTTTAAACATTTTGGTCGGAAGACTACTATAGTCTAATAGATAACCAGAAACGTACCTTCTGGGATTTTACCTCCCGCAATGTGCACGATACTAAGTATAACAAAACTGAACCCAGTCAGATGAGCTGTATTTACATCCTCAACATATTTTCCATACACCTCAGCAGATAACTGACTTCTGATAATGTAGGATTTTGCATCACTAGTGACTATAAGGTTAGAAAAATAATTAGAGCCAAAATAAAGGAGTTAAATCAATGAATGTGCTAGAATTGTGCACAAACAACCTACATTCTTAAGAGTGTTCCAAAGGAAAGAAAAAGCCATTGGCATCCAGAAATAATGGATTGTGATTAGCAATCTTCATATCATTCCCATGCAGCAGACCCATGTAACTAATCCATAGGTGAGGGCAAAACTAATAACCTCTACCATGATCAGTAGTAAGCAATATCTGCATGACATACCAAAACCAAGACTTTGCCAAAAGTACTTAAGTCGGATAGACATTCTCAGGATGAATCATATTTAATGCTACATGATATACATAACACATTGTTTATCCAGTATCAAGGATTCAAAGGGATGCTGCATCACTAATTTTAGAAATATTATATTTTAAAACACCTTCCTCATCCCAGAGTAAAAATTTTGCCAATTCAAATGCATTGATGCATGGCTTACAAAAGAGCACAATACTAGAATTGCAGAGAGTTTCTTTCAACCAAGAGGAACTGAGCTCAGGTTTGAAGTACCATGCAAATATTTAGAGCCATAAAATTGATAAGGCAATATGCTTCTTACTTTGTTGTGAAGGCCGTCCCTGATTCACAGATGAAGGCCGAGCTCTTTGAAGTTCTATCAAGTCATAGCCAAAAATGCTAGAAAGCTTCTCCTTGGCCTCATTAATCACATAAGCAGGAAGGTTACGCTGACGATAATTCTTAGTGACTATTTGAGTGAGCTCATCCCTCTTAATTGGGCATCCTGAGTTCTGGTGGATTTTAAACAGGATATACCGTATCGTTTCTGCAACAAGTTTGTCCTTTTCCTATTGACAAGAACAATCATTTTCTAATAGAAACTGGCAAAAAAAAAAGACACTAACAAGTAACAACGAACCAGAAAGAAAGAATCCACCATTTTCTAGGAACAAACCAGCATAAAGACACTAACAAGTAAGAAGAAACCAGAAAGAAAAAAGTAATAAGAGTGTGAACCTCTTTTGAAAGATCAAATTGAGAGAGATCTTCACCTGCATTGGCCATCCTGCAATTAAAAAATATCTCCAAATTTAGAAAGAGATAACAGCGAAGCATAGATTTCTTTCAACAGCAAGAAACATTCTCAATCTTTTTGCTTCAATATAAGTGAGAAAATATCAAAAGCCCTTGAAGCAACATTAAGAGGGGGAAGAAGCTGAACCTAGTCAGGGAAAAGCAAAATTTCAAGTAACCGAATCTCCACTACAATGACAAAAGATGGTTGAAGACAAGGAACATTCTGTCCTTACTGAAAAGAATTTTCCCTCCCTGCCCAACTCCCTACAGTTTTCATTCCTTGCCCCCATCCCCATCTGTTTGGGGCCGAGATTACTTGTCAGGGAAGTGATAAGTGATGATTTGATAAGTAATTATTGAATAAGTGATGATTGAATATTTGGCATGTGTAGTGGCCGAGCCAACGTTCAAATTATGGGAGCAGCATAACCTCTGATTCTGACATTTTCTAAACACGTTCCCCTCATCTATATATATATGTATATATCTATATATGTATTTTCATATGTATATGATAAAGCCCCGAAGGACCAGCAGAATATCCAGAAGGAGAGCACGTGCAGAAGAGGATTGAATGAAAAAAACAGAAAACGTGAAGAAATGGGATGGACGCAGATTGTATAGCCGTTGCGTAGAATCAGTCAAAGTATTATCTTTTTGCTTTTCAATTTCTGTAAACTGCTCCCTAGCTAGTCGGGAATAACAGTTGAATTTTGTGTATTTAAACTTCATTCATCAGCAATAAGAATTCATCATTGAATTGCAAAAAATCTGTGATTTCTTCTCACTCAAAAGAGAAAATCTTATCTAAATTTATAGGTTTCTGACTGGGACCTAGCAGAAAGTTTCTTTCTTTTTTCTTCAGTAAAAAATTATTATTATTATTTTTATAACATTTTAACGTTTAAAATTACATTAGACACTAAAAAATAATTTGAAGTAAATATTCATATTGCTTCATGCAGATACAATAAAAATATTCAACTATATAAGCGCAGCAAAAGCATTCGATTGTTTAAATACAAATTTAACAAGAATATTTAAGTTATTCCAAACATCAAATGCTTAAAATACTGAAGAACATTATAGTTCGCACTAGTTATACAAGTTAATCAATTATGAACATATTTTCTTTCAGATTCTGAATTTCTAGATAAGTATGGTAGATTGTTTATGAAAAGACACCTTTTTTTCCCCTCATAATTTCATTCTTTTCCTGATGGTTTACGAGAAATTTAACTTGAAAACACAATTGACACTGCTAAAAATTTAAGAGTGAAGTCTCCGTTTTACCAGATCTATATCGGAGAAAGAGCGCGGCACGGCAGCCTTTAGGGTTGCAGGGGCACGATGGTGGTCTGGAATCTTGTTGGTGGGGCTGCAAGAGTGGCGCGGCAAGTGTAGATTGTGGGCTACATCGGCATCGAGTTGAAGACTGTTACAAAGTAAGATAGAGCGGCTACCAGGTGCACGAGCGGGTAGAGAATGGCGGACAGTGATTTACGGTCGCCACCGACTCAACAAACAGGAGATACTCGAGAGAATCTGTGAAGAGTAACTCTGAGATGAAATGCAGAAATGGAAAATGGCGGTCGAGTAGGGAACAGGAGGGGCTTAATACTGTAATATAACATTTTCTGGGGGGGACGTTCACAATAAATAAAAACTGCACTGTGGGCCGCCGGGTTCCATAGTACTAAAACCGGAAATTCCAAGTCTTTCCGGCGTTTTTAAATGGGCCCGCCTGGTTCTATAGTTGAGCCTGACTGAGCCGAACAACACAGGCCTTTTGTTTACAAATTCACACTTAATACTAAAAAGTATAATAAAAAATAATATGATATATATATTTTTTTTGGGTGAAATTTAAGCAATGCATATTCCACATTTTCTAGAATATCAATTTATATTAATTTAATAATTTATTTTTCATTTTTAAATTAAATCTAAATTTACGAAAAGTATAAAATTTATATATTTTCTTTTCAATTTATTTTTATAAAAGTATTTTTTTTTTTATAAACTTAACTAATTTCCATTTTTAATCCAACTTTCTTTTACTTTTTCTCTTTTGCTATTTTCTTATTATGTTAAAAAAGGAGAAGAAGGTAGTTTTATTTAAAATTCAACAAATAGATGGACAAAAGGAAAAGTGGTGCCCACTCATGTCACTATCAATGAAACAATCAAACAAAAAGTCCATGGTTGTTGCGGTCAACATCGTGGTCCAGATGACCACCAAATGCCATCTAACGGTTTAGATTCGTCATCAAAATATTAAAGGGTTCTCAATACCCCAAGCTTATTTAAACCGTTGATCGTACCCTCTAACCGCATCCAACGGCTCATTCCCAACCTCCGTTTCATATCTAATACCAGCAGTTATTACCTTGTCCACCAAAGCTCACCCAGGCCTGCAAAGCATATAGACAAGAGAGAGAGAGAGAGAGAGAGAGAGAGAGGGTGGTGATGGAGAAGGAGAGAGAGCAACAGGTGTACTTGGCAAGACTTGCTGAGCAAGCCGAGAGATACGATGGTAAGCTTTTAATAAATCTATAGAGCGTGTTTGTGGATCTCTAATTTTTCATTTCCCCAGAAGTTCGTGGACGGAGATATATATATATTTTTTCTGGTTTTTAGTTTTTCCTTGATTCATGGATCGGAGTCTTCAATTCACGATAACGTATTTCTTGATCTTTTAACCGTTTGTTAGTCTGATGGATTCGTTCTGCTTTTCAGAGTAATAAGCATTTCCAGCACTTTTCATCTAGGGCTCCATCAAATTGATTAATTTTTTTAGTTTGTATTTGTAGTGCTTATTCATATATATATATATATATGTTTTCATGTTCCTGGTGTGATTTCTTGACATGGTGACTAATAAGCACATTACTACTGTCGTCAAGAATGCTGGGTTTGTATTTTAATGCAGTTGTCGGATCTTGACATGATCCGTGAAAAGAAGGGGGGAAGTTGAGAATGACAACATTTTTCTTGTTTCTGTTTTCGATTGATTCGGTTTCTATCTTCTGATTGATATAATGTAATTCCATAATAGCCTGATTCGTTAAACAAATAATAAAGAAAAATCAAGATAGCCCTTTTTAGGTTTGGGTCTGTGTCCATTCTGCTTTTATTTTGAAGTCCATATGAAGTTATTAAAATTGTAAATTTTAATGTGTTTGTATGTTTTTATCTTATGAATTGTTCTTGGTTAGCTTTTCTGGTCCATAATATAATTTCATGTGTGGTTCAAGGCAGCAGATTAGACGTTATATCATCTGATGTCATAAAGTTAGAATAGGATGATTTGCGTTTTCTGAGGAGGAGTGAGACATGATTAACTCCTTATTTTACTGGAGGAGTCAAGTTCATCTTTATGTTGGGTTTGATGGTTTACTTGGAAATTGCACTTCCTGCAGAGATGGTTGAAGCAATGAAGAAAGTAGCTAAGTTGGATGTGGAACTAACTGTTGAGGAGAGGAATCTGGTATCTGTTGGATATAAAAATGTGATTGGGGCAAGAAGGGCTTCATGGCGGATATTGTCTTCAATTGAACAGAAAGAGGAGGCCAAGGGGAATGAGCAGAATGTGAAAAGGATAAAGGATTACAGGCATAGGGTAGAAGATGAGCTTTCGAGGATCTGCAATGATATATTGTCTGTCATTGATAACCATTTAATTCCATCATCCTCGACAGGAGAATCAACTGTTTTTTACTATAAGATGTGAGTTCCCTCGTACTTTTTTGATCTTTTTAAGTTTACGTTTCCAAATTCATGTATTCTTAATCATAAGATGATATTTGAAAGAATCTGTTCTTAGGCGTAGTACTTTCAGTAAGTAATTATACTTTGGACAAGTTGAATTTTGTCTCCCACAAGAATTTTGCAGTCCAATGTCACATAGTGGGATTATGGGAATAAGCATAGGAACATGATGAGTCTATTTTCACTTATGTTGCATGAATCTAGTAGTCCGAGAAGGTATTCCTTTTTGTCTCCTCCGCCTATGGTTTCTGTCATTTCTATCTTTCCACTTCTTGGTTCTAATAGAAGATTAAACTCAAATTTCTTGTGATTACAGGAAAGGAGATTACTTTCGCTATTTGGCAGAGTTTAAAACAGGCAATGATCGTAAAGAAGCTGCAGATCAGTCACTTAAGGCTTACGAGGTTGCTGTAGTTCCTCTTTTGCATTTTTTTCACGATCATTTGATTTTCTGGCTACTTAGAAATTAAAATGCTACCTTTTACTTGTGCTGTTTAATTGTAGGCTGCTACAGCTACAGCAACCTCAGATTTGCCTCCCACACATCCTATCAGACTTGGTCTGGCTTTGAACTTTTCTGTTTTCTACTATGAAATCCTAAACTCTCCTGAGAGGTTAATCTCTCTCTCTCTCTCTCTCTCACACACACACACACACGCACACACACACACACGCACACACGCACACGCATACACACACACACACACACGCACACACGCACACGCATACACACACACGCACACACGCACACGCACATGCACACACACACACGCACACACGCACACGCACACACGCACACGCACACACAAAAGCACTTGAATGCATGGCTGTGCATGTGCCGCCATAAACATTTGCACGTGTGCATTTTAGTTAGCGCACAAGAATGCTTTACTTGCTGGATTTCTTGTAATCAAGGGTGATTTATCCAGATACTAACTATAACTTGTGGATGCATTCTGTTTGGTTGTGTCAGTACTGGATGAGCTCAAGTATTCATTGCTGTTCCTTCTCATGTAAACTTGTTGTGCAGAGCTTGCCACCTGGCTAAACAAGCATTTGATGAGGCAATTGCAGAACTTGATAGCCTTAACGAAGAATCCTACAAGGACAGCACCCTTATTATGCAGCTTCTTAGGGATAATCTCACCTTGTGGACCTCAGATCTGCCAGATGAGGGTGGTAACCTCTCTTCTATCTCTCTCATGCTTGGTTGGCTAATTATCTTGGGTTGACTTTAAAATTGTGTTGATGAATTTAAGAAATCTAACTTCACTAGCTAAATACTTCGTAAGATGGATATTGTTTTCATCTTATGCTAAAAGCTCAGGGGATTTAGGAATGAGGATAGTATCCATCCTATAGAAGAGATGAACATATTTCAGCAGTTTTCACATTGGTTTGGTAGTTGGGATATGTTTTTTATTATGACATTATATAGTGAATGGTCAGATCCTGAGTTTCATCAGTTGACTGGTGATAGCTATTAATTTATTCTTCTAAGTGATCACCAATAGAAAGTATGAAAATGAGCAAAAAAAAAAAAAAA